TGTATCTGGGTTATCCATGGCCACTTTGAAGCACTCCAGCATTTCATGCCTGAAACACACGTTTGGCCTAGTGTTTACATGACGCTGCATCTCCCATGCCAGCTCCAGCTGCAACTTGCAGCTTCATGCTAACATGAATCCTGGGTGAGAGTGGTGATGACTCAGATAATTGGGTTCCTGCCACCCACATGGGAGACATAAGCTGCATTCCCAGCTCCCCACTTCAGCTCTAACATGCAAGCTTTTGGGGAGTGAACCAGTAGATGGGAGCACCCCTGCAAAAAAAAAAAAAAAGTCATGATTTTACAATGTTTCCAGGACTAAGTGGGAATGGCTTACCTCAGGCCCCTGTGAACTGTCTGCTGTGTCTGAACTTTAAAGAGACTTTCTGCTCTTGCGTCTGGTACCCGAGCCAAGGTGGGCTGAACAAGGGATCTGTTGCACAGGGTGGGCCTGCTTGCAGCCCAGTGGTATTTTGTGGTGACTGGCTTTTTCCACATAAGCTATCAGACTTTCGTCATATCTAGGCTTGGAGAACTTAGAACACTCTATCGAAACCAGATTCTATCAACTGAAGCAGTCACAGGGCCAGCCCAGGTTCAAGGGAAGGAAAAACAGACTTCACTTCATGATAAGATTTGTGCTGGACACCTTTGGAAGTGTAACCTATCTCACATCTTTCCTTTATCACAGGAAGGTACTAGGTGCTTGCTTCTATGGTCTTTAGCCATGATAAACATTACCAAGCAGGAAAAAGATGGGCCTGTAGAACCTTTACATTGAGATTATGCTGGGTTCTGGATGGAAGCAGCTCTTCAGATTCCCGAGGAGACATGGTGTTGTGGGCCTTTTAACACAACAATGACCTGTAAGAGGGTATTAGGATGAGCCAGATTTTTAAAAAAGATTTATTTATTTTTATTGCAAGTCAGATATACAGAGAGGAGAGACAGAGTGGAAGATCTTCCATCCGTTGATTCACTCCCCAAGTGACCGCAATGGCCAATGCTGTGCCCATCCAAAGCCAGGACCCAGGAACGTCCTCCAGGTCTCCCACATGGGCGCATGCAGGGTCCCAGGCAGTCCTGACTGCTTTTCCAGGCCACAAGCCGGGAAGTGGAGCTGCCGGGATTAGAACCGGTGCACATATGGGATTTTGGTGAGTGCAAGGGGGAGGACTTTAATAACTATGCCATCGCGCTGGGCCCAGAATGAGGCAGATTTACCATAACCTATGATCCGTGTTCAATTCTGTGTGACTCTAGCACCTTGTGACATGTGTAATCAAGTGGCCACCATTTTTGGATCATTACTGTTAAATGTCAGACAATACCTTGAACGGGTCTTTAAGAGCCAGTGTTGTGGGAAGTGGACTGACCACAAGATGCTTGTGTCAGAATGAGGAGCCTTCCGGGTTACTGTACTGGACGGAAGCTATGCCCTTCCAGGGTCGCTGCACGTTAGGTCAGAAAATGATCTCTCACCCAAACAAGGACTGATAAGGAGTGCTGATAAGGTCAACAGACTGCCTTTTCCCGGCAGTTCATCCACCTGCATGTGCTTTGGTTTGGAAAGTGTTTTGCTAGAGCATTCATTTTCCTCTTCCTGTAACTAGCCCGGTGAGTGGTAGGCTCCATGAGAAGGCCCAGCTTGCAGGTACTTGCGCAGAAGTGATGACTTCCTGGGTCCCAAGAGGGCTAAGATGTGGAGCTGGGGGGGAGGGGTAGGGAACGGGCTCCTAACTCCCCCGCTAGATGATTCCTCCACCTCCCTGACTTCGGGCAGAGTCTGGCGGCACAGCCCCTTGGGCCAAGTCCACTCAGCCTCCGGTGTTGGTTACTTCAACAGGAGGGGCTCTGCTGCTCTGAGCCAGCCGGCATCACCCACGACGACAGGGCCCCAGCCTCTCCTTCCCAGGCCCCGAACTGGGTCGGCCTTCAAGCCCTAAGTCTATGGCGTTACCTCGGCTCTAGCTGGAATGAGGTTTGGGGGTCCTACGCCCCCCGACGACACTCAAGTGTCCTTATGGTCCTTGTTTTCCGGGTCCCCGACACCTCAGGGGTCCCCGGACGTTGGGCTCTTGCCGGCAACCCCCCCCTCGGCCCCTCGCCCCCTCTCCGGCCTGCCCGCATCTCCTCGCCCCACCCTTCCGCGCGCCCCTGGGCTCCTCTTCCCGCTCCCGGCTTTTGTTGCCCGGGCTTGTTTCTAACTGACGAGCACCTCCCCGGCTCGGTGCCAGGTCACGTGCGTTAGTGACAACCTCTCGCAGGGCGGCCCGGGGGCCGGGGCGCCGCCGATTGGCCGGGGTCGGCTCCGGCGCGGCCCTGGGGCGGGGCGGCCGGACCGGCGCGGGCGGAGCGGCCGATCAGCTGTTGCGAGCGCTGCACAACAACAAAAGGACCGGAACGGCCGGCGGTGGCTCGGGGCGCAGCGACAAGGAGGGCTGGAGAGCCGGCCCGCCCCCCGAACCGGCCACCCGGACCCAGCGAGGCGCAGCCTCTCCCGACCTCAAACTACCTCAGCAGCCCCGCGCCCTAACGACCCCGTCCCTGCCGAGCCGGCGGCAGCCGCTTCCTTCGCCGCGTACCCCGCGTTGGGGACTTGGGCGCACGTAAGTGCCGGCGGGGCGGGCGTCCAGGGACCCTCGACGCCGCAGCCCGGTCCCCGAGCCCGCCGGGCCTGACCGGGCGCCCTGCCCCTGGGCCGCCGGTGGTGCCCTCTCCAAGCCTCTCGCTTCTTGCCGCCCGTACCCTCGGCCGACCCTAGCGGCCGGGGTGCGAGCGGAGGCGGCGCGGACCTGGGCCGGGCCCCGGCGCTGGGCGGCGGTTGGGTGTTTGATTTCTGCCTCCTCCCCCAAGCCTGGCCTTTCTTGGCCGCGGCGGACCTTCCTCCTCCTTTTTCTCCTCCTCCTCCCCCCGACTCGGCTGTGGGACGGGGCTGCCCGTCTAGCCAGGGCGCGGCGTCGGGACTGGGGGAGCTCCGGGTACCGGGAATCCGGACCCTTGAGACGGTGCAGGCGGATGGCCGGCGGGAGCCCAGGAGGCTATGGGGCTGCGCGAATCTGCTGTGCTAACCGCCCGGCCAGCGCCTGTTTCGTGATCAAGTTGGTTGCACACAGCACTAGTTGAGGTTTCACCTGTGGGCAAGAGGGGGTGGTTCTGTTTGGGATCTGCCCTAATTGAGATCCTGATAGCTTGTTCAGCTTTTCCAGCTTATTTTCTTAAACCGCACCTTTACTGTGTGCCCGGGCTGTCACCTACCTGGTGCTAGTCGACCCTCACAATAAGCCCCCAGCAAGTGGCCCAATTCTTTAATAGAAAGGCATCCTGAGGCCCAGAGATTGACTAACGTATTCAGGACCGCACAGCCGATTTAAAAAATCAAAATTGCAGATGGGTTTTACTGGGGGACTCTTGGTTTTTATTTCGTTCCCGGATTCCTTGTGCTCAGTAAATCCAGAGGACTTGGAGGAGACCCTTCGCGTCTTTAGCTCCCAAGCACTTTAGGCGTCCTTTGCCGGGGAGTGGGACTGTGATTCAGCGTGCCCCCAGGACCCTGAAATCACGCAGTGCTTGGTCATTGAACAGGCTTTTCATTTGCAGGTGTGAAAAGCACGGGGGAGCTTTTTAGTCTCACTGTAGTTCCCGGGGCCCTGCCTGGATCCAGGGCCTTCCTGACTTCTGTGTCCAAGGTCTCTCTTTGGCTTACCCTGTCTAGTGCTCATCTGTGCTCCTTCACACTTCTTCCAGTGACCCTGCTGTCGGAATGCCATGTAAACAGGCAACAAATGATTACTTGCTGCAGTCTTTGGGGCACTTCCTTCAGCCTTCAGGACTGCCACTACCAAGTTAGTGGGAATAACCTCCCTTGTTAAGTAGTTGAGTAGACTGGGTTGCTGCAGAACAAGCAAAGGCAACATGGCTCAGTTTGGCAGTTCAGAAGTGATGTTAAGCTTCTTGAATCAATGCGGGTATCTCTTCTAGAGATAGAGGGTGATACCAAGAAGATGGGAACCTGGAGGCCGCTTTTCTATTTAACCACCTAATGTGTCCAGACTGCCCCCAACTGTCCACACATTTTCAAGTTAGAACTTCAGAGTGTGTACTTTTTTTTCTTTTTCTTTTTTGCTTTTTGGAGCCTCCTACTGGCAGCTAAAACCAACTGGAAAGCACTACTTGTTCAGTTTATAGAACCCACAACTGAGGGGGAGGAGAGTGCGAATTGGTATGCAGGGAGAGGCCAGGGGTTGGAATCGGGTGGCTTTATTCTGTGATGCTGGCTCCACCCCAAGCTGGTCTCTCACTTTCAAGCAAGCAACTTAAGTTTTCCCGGACTCCGTTTTCTCATTTTTCATCCACAAAGTAGGATGAATACTCAGTTGGAGCTGTCGTTATTACATGCAACCTATAGGGAAGAGATTTAATCCCAAATACAGCCTGCAATGAGCTTGTGGTTAAACTTTCCTGAGTGCCTCAAGGTGTCAGACCCTGTAAGTGCTATACGCAGTCATCCTGTTGGCCAGCAGACCCTGTCACTGGTGCACGGAATGATGGAACAGGCACCAAGTGGTTACTATCTCTAGGGTTACAAGCAGCAGAGCTTGATTTGGACTAAGCAGGTTAGCAGAGCAGCCTTGAGATACCACACCCCACTGCTTTTGGTGGGTCATGTTATCAAAATCAACCAGCTTTTTCTACTCACAGAACATTTCTGCTCTTGGTGTGACATCAGAAACACTAGTAATAAAATCTTAAGCGAGATGTATACACATCCTCTAGACTACAACTGTGATTTTAAGAAAAAAAAGAAACGTAGAAGAAAATATGCTAACAAATGACAAGAAGGGAGTGGCACAACAACTTTGTTTTGTTTTTAGAGATTTAATATTTATTGGAAGTCAGAGCTACTTGGAGAGACAGAGTGAAGAGATAGCACTTCCTATCTGCTGGTTGACTGCCCAGATGGCCACAACAGCCGACCTGGGCCAGGCCAGGAGCCCAGAGTTGCTTCCAGGTCTCCCGTGTAGGTACAGGACCCAAGCATTTGGGCCATTTTCTGCTTTCCCCAGGCGCATTAGCAGGGAGCTGGATGAGAAGTGAAACTAGGTCTCGAACTCATGCCCCTTTGGAGATGCCAGTGTCCCAGGCAGCAGTTTTACCCACTGTGGCCCAACACTGGGCCCCCTTATTTGTTTGGTAAAAGTCCCAAAATGCTGTTTTGATTTTATAATGAAATGGATGGTTTTAATCAGTGGGATGGGTTATTTTAAGAGAGCAGGCATAAAGCTACTTTCCTCAACTGTTTGGCCTGAGATACATTGTATTCCTTTTTCAGCCAGGAGCCTGCTGGCCTGGGGTTGGCTGCTCTGAAAGCTTGCATGCTCCTAGAACCCCAGCTACTCCACCCAGCCACCCACCCACCTACCTACTTACCTCCCCAACCTTTGCCTCTTTGTTCAGTTCCTGAGCTGCTTTTGTAAACTTGAGCTCTTTGGACACAGGCTGCCTCTAGAACTTTTGTTTTAGCATGATCTTTGCCCCGGAGTTGTGAAGGTCAGAAATTCAGTGGCCATGTGAAGAGATGGGTGTGAAACTATGCCTTGTCTTTCAGCTGCACATATAGCACACCCCATGGAGAACCTCTATTAGCACTGGACAGGACACAAGGTCAGAGCAGCAATGACTAGACCCAGACAGTGTCTACACCATTACTTTTTTTTTTTTTTTAAGATTTATTTTTATTGGAAAAACAGGAGAAACGGAAACATCTTCCATGCATTGGTTCACTCCCCAAGTGGTCACAATGGCTTGGGCTAAGCAATCCAAAGCCAGGCGTCTCTTCCTGGTCTACCATGTGAGAGCAGGGTCCCAAGGCTTTGGGCCATCTTTTGCTTTCCTAGGCTGCAAAAAGGGAGCTGGATGGGAAGTGGAGCAGCTGGGACACAAATAAGTGTTCATATGGGATCTCCACAGTGCTTAGAGGAGAAGGATTAGCCAGTGGAGCAATGGCTGGGTCCTGTGCCAGTAACATTTTGGGAAGATTTTTTTTTCTAGATTAGCACTGCTCAGCAAAAATAAGAGATTGTAAGCCACATGTAAGTTTTCCTGGTAGCCACATTAAAAAGGGAAAAAGAGGGCCCGGCGCGGTGGCGCAAGTGGTTAAAGGTCCTCGCCTTGCACACCCGGGATCCCATATGGGCGCCGGTTCTAATCCCGGCAGCCCCGCTTCCCTTCCAGCTCCCTGCCTGTGGCCTGGGAAGGCAGTCGAGGACGGCCCAAAGCTTTGGGAACCTGCACCCGCGTGGGAGACCCGGAAGAGGCTCCTGGCTTCGGATCGGCATAGTATCGGCCGTTGCGCTCACTTGGGGAGTGAATCATTGGACGGAAGATCTTCCTCTCTGTCTCTCCTCTCTGTATATCTGCCTTTCCAATGAAACAATAATAAAAATAAATCTTTAAAAAAAAAAAAAGGGAAAAAGAACAGGAGAAATTAATTTTATTAATATTTGTAACTTAATAGATCCGAAATAATCTCAACATAAGATTGCTCCTGAAGTATTCTGTTGGGTGGGCTGGGATCCTGAGGCCTTGAAATACAGCCCCATATCTATTTTATATTTATAGTAAGTTTCAGCCCAGCCGCAGGACTAGTATTGGGAATGCTTGATCTGTACTTGCATGTAAATTTACAGTGGAAGAAGTAGGTTTATTCACCCTGGTTATTTCTGACATGATTGAAGGTTTTCCAAAAATTGACTCAGTTATCAAATTTTAAGTGTAAGTGGATTAAAGTTAAATAAAATCCAGTTTATCATTCATATAAGTCAAACACATTTTATGTGTGCCTGGTGGGTCAGGTTTTCCAGTTGCTTCTGACCCCTTAGTGATACCACACCAATCTCAGCTCTCTTTATCAGGTTAGAAGTTCATGGGGAAAGAGAGGACATAAATAGTCTCCGCATTTTTCTGATGGCAGACTGAGGCTTAGTACCAGAAGTTCTGGTGCCCAGGCAAGTGCTCCTACCCAGGGACTCTGCCCTCTTTCCCCGCTGCTTCCTCTACCCTGCCCTGCCCTCACCTGCCTCTGCAGGGGCTTAGTGTGAATGCCAACAATGAGATGCAGGATGAGCAGCTTGTCTGTCCCTTTCCCTGCTGCCTGCTTGACGGTGGTTGTCCTTGCAGGGCCATGGCACATGAGGAGGCAGTCTTTGGCCAGGGAACCCATGGGGCATTGCAGAAGCTGCTCTGGAGGATCCTGTGCCCTACACAGTTGCATGGTATGCAGGCATGCACACCTGCCACTCTGTGGACTTGGCTGCTGTCACCAGAGGGGCCCCAGCATTTTCTTCTGCCTTGCACCTGGGCTGAGCCCCAGTGTCTTAGCCTCACCCAACAACAGGTAGGGGGAAGACAAGAAGAGCAGAGGCATCTCCCCTCGCCATCCAGGCACTGTAGCTATAGTGGAGGCAGGGCCTGAGGGCTGCCCTGTACTCTGAAGACTGGCATGGTTCTCCTAGCTAGCTCAGCTGGAGTAGCATCACACTTGAGTCTGCTCTCTGCTCCCACAGTGACAGAAAAGTGGTGAGAAGGTTTTGCAGATTGCTTTTTGCCTCCTGGTTCAGAAACCCTGATTAGTATCAGAGCTGGAATTGCACAAGATTGGGAGGGAGGGGGAAAGGAGAAGGACTATGGTGGCCCTGCAGCCCGAGGATACAATTGCACAGTCCGCTTTCCTCCTCACTTCCCTTACCTGGAGCATGAAGCTCAGCCTAGATCCGCAGTTTGGCCATGTTGCTTTCCAGAAGGTTTCAAGAAGACTGGTTATGCAAGTGACACTTCCTGTTTACCCGCTTGTAATCATTAATGGCTGAGGATGGTGAGCTGTGGCCACAGAAGTATTCTTCTGTCATGTATTTGAGATGTTTTACTCCAGCAGCATGCCAGCCAGCTGTGGTTTGCACACAAGGAATTGAACCAGGGGGTCTTAGCAAATGATTGTTTGACACACCAGGTGTCAAGAGGCTGAAGTTATGGGCTCAAGGCTGATGCTTATGTTTCATACAGATGTTGACCATTGAGGTGTCTTTCCCCATCCCTGAGTGGTCCTGGCCTCTCTGGTTTCTGTCACCCACTCTGGGTTGGCAGCTCCCAAATCTTCCTCCAGCTGAGAACACACCCTGCGTTCCACTGCCCTGTATCCCCTGTGCCATTTTCAGCTGTGCCACCTTGGAGAGTGCCCAGTGAGCCATCAGCAATGTCCGGCCTGTTTTCTGCAGCAATCCTAGTCTTTCCCTTAAGTGATTCCCCCATCCCTCTACCAGGTAGGCTGGAAACCTGGATCACGCTTGACTTTTTCTGCCCTTAACTTCTAGCTTAAATGTTCTTCAGTCCAGGACAAAGCCAGGATGCTGTAACTCTATCCAGGTCTCCTGTGCTTGGGCTATCATCTGCACTTTTCCTAGGTGCATTGGGGAAGTGAAATGAAAGTGCAGCAGCCAAGACTTGAACCAGCACCCATATGGGATGCTTGCTTCTTAGGCAGCAGTTTAACCCCCTATGCCACAGTACTGGTTCCTCCCCTGTGTTCTTGCGCCCTCTCGCTTGGCTTCTCAACCACTTAAGATTACTGATTTATTGCCAGTCTACCCAGCTGGTGTGAGGAACACTGTGTCCTTTTCCTCCCATGACATCCATGCCAGGCTGTCTCTTGCTGTGCGAAGGCCTCTCCCAGTGCCTTTTTCCCTGAACTAAGTGTGTGATAGGTTCCCAGTAAATATTTGCTGACTTGTGGTTGACCTGGATGGAGAACTGTGCCAAGTACCTTGCAAGGTGCATGTCCTAATGACCTACATTTCTCATTTAACAAGAGCATCAGGGAAACTGTTTAAGAAGTGGTTTTGGCAAAATTGGGAGCGACAGCAGGCTGGCTGAGTGAGAATGATGGGAGGAGGAGGTGGGTTTGGGCCCCAGTCCACAGGGCTTGTTGAGGGCTTGAGTGACCGGACAGGGCAGTTGTTGCTGTTTGCTATGGGAGATAAGGGTAATCAATATGTATGAGCAAGTTTATCAGGGGAAATGAAAAGCTCTTTTGTTATGTAACCAAGCAGACATGGATACATCAAACTGGACCTTTAGTTCTTCAGAGTTCCCTGAGGTAGGAACTCTACTGAGGATGTGTAGCTTCCTAACTGGCGCAGCGCCTTGCAGCCAAGGTGGGCCTGGAGCCTGGGCCTGCCAGCTACAGCATGGCTCACTAAACCGTGACACAGGAGTGGGATTTCCAGAGTTTCTTGTTGCCCAGCACATTCACGTGTAGTTTGCATGTCTCCATTCCAGCTGCAGGAATTGTTCTGCCAACTAGAGTGTGCTGTTTTTAGAGACTAGTAGTGTACATAGGTGTGACCACTGGCCTGTCCAAGAAATACAGCACAGAGAGATGCAGCAAGGGACAGGGAGGGCCTGGCCCAGTGGTGTGACCAGGCCCCAGAGCTGGATTCACCTGACTTGTACATGGTTGAGTATCATAGACCAAGGACACTAATAGATAGCGAGAAAGAGTTTTGTAGTTGGAAATCATTGTTCATGTTCATCCCATATAGAAGTACAGGTGTGAACAAGACCCACCTTTTTCCCACTTACTTCTACTCAGATATGTACAGGTTACGTTTGAATACTTGATTCATAATTACTTGTAAAAAAGGTTGGATTTCTTGTATTTGACTTGCATGGGAGGAAGTGGTCATAGAATGTAGGTTAAGGCATGTGCTTCTAAGGGTGTATGTATGTGTACAAACCTACTTATAAAATACCCATGCTGATGCATAATATTACCTTTTCTTTCTTTTTCTTTTTTTAGGGATAGTAGTTCTTTCTGTTTTTCACCTAAGTTGAATAAGCACCTTGCGCACTTTAATTTCTACTCAGAGCCATTCCGACTAAAGACAAAATTTTGAAATCTCACTATAAAGACATCCAGCCAAAGTCTCAAGCTTGCCTTAACAATGTTCCAGAGGCTGAATAAAATGTTTGTGGGTGAAGTCACTACATCTTCCAACCAAGAACCAGAATTCAGTGAGAAAGAGGATGATGAATGGATTCTTGTGGACTTCATAGGTAAGGAACTGCCCATGGTTAGTTTTCACAGTGAAAGTGGCAACATTTGCCTTTGAGTTTTTGTAGATCTGAGTTAATACCTCCGAAGGTCTTAAGCCTTAGAAGTAAGTAAACAGGAATGTCTAAAAATAGATTGCAGGAAAGAGTTTGGCACCAGATGATCAGTCAGTGAAATTGATTGACGTCAGACTATCCACTGTTGCAGCATTTAGAGCCTGATACTCTGAGAGGCCCTTGAATAGGAGCAACTCCTATCCAACAGGCAGTAGTCCATGGGCCCCAGTGTTCAGTCAGCAGAGCAGAAGAGCCCTGAGACCTTTCCAGCAAGTCAGTGTACTCCCCACATTTTGGCCACACACACGGTGCTAGGAAATGATTGTGTGATTGTTTTGAGTGCCTAGAAATTGTTTTGATTCTGACCCATATCAAGGGAGGAATGTGAGCACTAACAGTATCGTCTCTTTTCTTGACTGTGACTTGGATGGGCGTCTCCATGGTGACTTCGTGATATGATAATTCCCTTCCCATGGGATTTCGCTGCACGTGGCCCACCATCCAGATACCTGCACTGGTTTCCCAGCAGAGGAGGAGGAAGAGGAAGATGACATCCTTGAAGAGCCACCTACTGAGCATCCTTCCGTCTTCTCCTGTTTGCCTACATCTGTGGAGTGCTTGGCTGACACAACTGATTCCTGTTTCCTCCAGTTTGAGTCCTGCCCAATGGAGGAGAGCTGGTTTATCACCCCTCCCCCATGTTTCACCGCAGGTGGATTAACCACTATCAAAGTGGAAACAAGTCCGATGGAAAACCTGCTCATTGAACATCCCAGCATGTCGGTCTATGCTCTGCACAACTCCTGTCCTGGTCTCAGTGAGACCAACTGCAGGACCGAGGAATTTCAAGATCCGGGTAGTCCCAGGTGCGTCATCCAGCATGTTTCTCTCTAGGCAATCTGCTATGGGTGCATTTCATTTGTTTCTGCTTAAAGTGAAAACTAGGCTTTTAGAAGATGCAAAGCAGTTTTGTTGGGCAGTTTCTAAAAGTTTCAGCATAGTGATGTGTTTTTAAAATATTTTTTTAAAAGCTTGCACATTTTAGATTTTTCAAAGTTAGTTGTAGCAAGATCCCAGTTATATAATAGAGTTCTCATACATGTAGCTGTTCTGAATGGAAATAAAAGCCTGGTATTTCTCCTTAGTATCTTAGAATGTGACTGGCACATTATAGCCTGGATTATTTAGGAGATCAATTCCAACTAAAATATTGTGTCTCTTTTTGGTTTGTTAAAGATTATTTTATTGGAAAGGAAGATTTTACAAAAAGAAGAGATAGAAGTCCTCCATCCACTGTTTCACTTCTCAAATGGCTGCAATATTTAGAGCCCAGCTAATCTGAAGCCAGAAACCTGGAGCCTTTTCCTATCTCCCCCATGAGTCTAGGGTTTCAAAGGCTGGGGCCATCCTCCACTGTTTTCACAGGTCATCAGCAGGTAGCTGGACAGGAAGTGGAGTAGCCAGGACACAAACAAGCACCCATATAGGATGTTGGCCCTTGAAGGGTGAAGATTAGCTGGTTGAGCCATCATACCAGCCCGCAGAATATGATGTCTTAAACTCTTTTCTTCCACATAGTCTTAGGTTACATCAAATGGTATTTACACTTGAAAACCTAAGTAAAATGTCTGAAGTGTAAACTAAGATGACAGCTTTAACAAAGTTGCTTATAGTTGTTTTCTGCTTATAGTTGTATAGGAAAAAGTTCACATTGAAATGAGGTTTTGTTACGTGGGGTCCCAGTAGTGTGAAATGGTAGTGTGAAGTTGGAATGGCAGGTGGGTGGAGGCCCTGGTTCGTTCAGGGAGATGTCCAGTCAGTGAAGACAGAATACTCCAAAACAAACTTAAAAGACATCTTCTGGCCTTCATCCAGATATCATATCCAGGGAACATATCTGAGATGGCTTCCTCCCTCTAAAGTGACATCCTTTATCAGGGTATTTGCCTCAAAGTGCAGACAGTCTGTCACACATGGCAATGGAATATTCCCCCTGGTGTTAGCATGGAGCGGGTTGGAAGGATGGTAATATTGGCACTGGTTCCATTTCATTCCCTCTTGGCTCAGGAGTCCAAGTGAAATTTTTTGGAATAGATGAAAATATTCCAGTGGTTAGTGCTGTCAACTAAATGCCTCTTTCCAATAACTACACCATTGTGCATATCTTCTGTTTCCTGTTTGCCAAATACAAACAAGGCTCAGGCAGCTCATTAATATGTTAACTTTGTGAGTGTGTTGCACTCTCCAGTCCCAACATCGTAGAGGATCTTTTGGAGGTCAAATTATTTCATTTTGTTTGCACCAAAATGACAGTTCATTCATATAGCTACATAATCCCAGGCTATGGACTGGGTAAGGTGCTTAATGGGAAATGCTACTTTAACTGGCACTTTATTCAATTTGTCAAGAAGCATTCCAGCAAACATTTTAAATACAAATACGGCATTTTGGAGGTAATGCTGAATTGTTTATAGTTCTTCAGCTTGGTTTCTTCAGTTCCCTCAAATTTTGCATCTTTAAGAGAACTTTATGAGAATTTAGCATGATTAGTTAATACTGGAAACACTGGCATTGGTTGCTGTTCAAAGGTTAAGCGTGTATGTGAGTATACATGTGGTCAACAGCTTTGCAAAGCCACTTACAGAAGCAGTACTTGTGCATTGCAGAAAATGCAAATACGTAGAAATGTGAACTTTTGATGTGACATTCCCACAACTCCCAAATGTGTGTGGTTACTATCCTATGGCTTCTCCTTCCACTTGTCCAGTGTGTTCCCTTGTTTGGGCCCATCCACTGACCCTTTATGCATTTCTAACCTCAGTGGGACTCCTACTACTTGTTACTTTCGACAGTGATATGCACCATTTTGCATCAGTACATGTTTTTGTACTACTCAACCCATTCTCAGGGGTCCCTGGTAGTACCTATGGTATTTCACTGAGTTTGTCCAGACTGCCTCCAAAGCACCCGATTGTTAATGCATCTACAATTTTGATGTAGTCAGAGCATTGTATCCTGTTTTTGCATTCATATATTGTAGATTTAACATAAGATAGGTAAATTTCCATATGTAAATGATGAAAATACACTGAACTTTGTATGAATTCGTCGCACAAATCCTGTTGTTATTGCAATTGTTAATAGTAACCGAAAGATTATTAGCATTCTTGTTCTGAAATTTGAGGTTCTTATCAGGCAGACCTCACTGAATCAAGACGGGAATTGGGTGGTACCAAAGGCAGGTGAATAACTGTTGTAAACAGCTGCATCTTTCACAGATTACAATGCTTCTGGCCTGTGTGTCCTCGGGGATAGTTCAGTAAAGCACATAAAAGTACGCTGCTTCATAATTAGTGTGGGCTCTGGCATATGTGTTTTATTGCATTGTAGCCTTTATAGATATTGTTTGTTGAAGTTTATAAACTATTATGTCTCAAGTAAAACTTGTGTATGTGACTTAAGTGACCCATAGTAAGGCAGCTTGAATAGAGTTGACCACTTCCTAACAGTAAAATTAAAGTAGCATTTTAAAATCTTACTAGTGATTTAATAGTTCACCATTTAACATTTGTAGGGCCAGGAAAAGCTGCTTATAAGACTCATGGATACAGAGTAAGTATCTTCCCTGTGAGACTGGGTGACAGGTGCTGTCAGTCTGTGTAGGAAGACCCAGGGCTCATGCCTACTTTTCAAGGCTCACTCTCCTTTGTCTTTGTAGTCTCTGAGTGTGGCCTATTGTAGTTATACAACTACAAGTCCATGTTGAAAGAACTGTTTTCCTCCAGTGATGCTAAGGCAGAGCAAACAACTGCTCGTCCTGTGGAAAATCATCATGAAGTGCCTTAGAACATTTTGTGCCATGTGTGAATGCAGTTTGGATCCCTCATGTCTGATTAGCTTTCATATGAAAAACATAATAGGGCTCAGCACAATAGTTTAGTGGCTAAATCCTTGCCTTGCATCTGCTGGGAGCCCATGTGGGCCCTGGTTTGTGTCCCAGGTGCTCCACTTTAGCTCTCTACTTGTGGCCTGGGAAGGCAGTAGAGGATGGCCCAAGGCCTTGGGACCCTGCATCCACTTGGGAGACTTGGAGAATGCTTCTGGCTTCTGGCTTCAGATTGGCTCCATTGCAGCCACTTGGGGAGTGAACAGTAGTTATTCTGTAATCTCCTCTCGTATATCTCCTTTCCAATAAGAAAAAATAAATCTTTAAAAAAATAATCATACTCTGTTTTTTTTAAAACGGATTGGAAAGACAGATTTACATGGATAAGGAGAACTGTTTAGAATCTTTCATCTGTTGGTTCACTTCCCAAATGGCCACAATGGCTAGAGCTGAGCCAATGTGAAGCCAGAAGCCTGGAGCTTCTTCCAGGTCTCTCACGTGGCTACATAACTTGGGCCATCTGCTGCTTTCCCAGGTCATCAACACAGAGTTGAATCAGAAGTGGAGCAGCTGGGACACGAACCAGTGCCAATGAGGGATGCCAGCACTTGAAGGTGGAGCATTAGCCTATTCAGCCACAGTGCTGCCCCCATACTGTATGTATTTTAAGATCACTTGTCCTTCAAGGATCTTTAAAATGTTGCCATAAATGAAAATGCAGAATATGGCATGGTGTGCTGTGAACAAAAACAGATGTGCCTTCCATGATAAGCAGTAGATTTTTATGTGGAGAAGTGTTCAGTGAGTGGAATTTTCTTATGCCTAGTTCTCTTAAATATATAGATGGAAGGCTTGTTTCCTAATCAGTATAAACTAAGAATGAATATACTCTTTAAAGATTTTGATGAGAACTAAAATATGTAATATTTGCAAAATGTTTATCAGGTGCCGATTGTTGGGGGCACTGACAATTTCCTGCCCCGTGATTGGCCCTTTGCCCTGATTGCTGTGCCTTGGTGATCTTTAAGCTGATTGGACAGGATTGACATATAAGCCAGGGGCTTGGCAGGGGAGGGGCTTCTGCATAATGGAATTAACGGACATAACGGTTTTAACGGAAGGTCTGAATAAAGTGCCTCTGAGACGCTCTCCAGTGTTGGGTGATTTCTTCCGTGGGACGGGAGACCCTGATACCGATATTCAGTGATGTTGATCCCACCCCCAGAGGAGTGTGTATGAATTTGTGCTCTATAATCAAAATACAGTCCAAGTGAACTGGGGTGTCCGAGCCAGCTGGGGTAGGTGGCTTATTTGCACCACAAGCTGGCTTCTCTGCCACTGCCCCCACCCCTACCCTCACCCCGAGTCAGTGCTCTTGTTCAGCCTTAAAGAAGGGTGTGGCGAGCTGAAGTGCTAAGTGACTTTGTCAGTGTCATTTCCAAATCCTGCTAACTGCATGCATCCCCACTATTTTTTTCTGTTTCAGAGTGGAAGCTCAGAATGAGATGGAGCAGCACATCCGCTGCTATGTCGCAGCTTTTGCTGCTCATGCAGCTTTTCTGGAACAATCCAAGAGCTTTCGCCCTTCCCAGTGGATGAAAGAACATAGTGAAAAACAGTCTCTGAACAGAAATAGCCTTCGTCGCCAAAATCTTACCAGGGATTGCCACTCCCGGCAAGTCAAGCACAATAGCTGGGTTGTTCACCAGCCCTGCCCGCGTCAGTACAATTACTAAGAATTTCAAGTTTTGGTTGGTCTCACTGGATTTGTGTACACACATGGATTTGTGCCATGAGCACACTGTTTCTTCACAGCCAGTGGTGACCAGTCACGTTGTGGATACTTTTGAAAACCCTGTTTATGTGCCGGGTACCACATAACGCCTTGCTCCTAATATTTACTTTTTTGTAGATTTTTTTCAGAATATTTTTTGACATATCAATACAAGTTACAGTGTTTGGTGTTGGGGGGTGTCTTTATTGACGTGTACATGAATTAGCATTTTAAAGACATGTCTTCCCAAGTATAAGAATAGGCATCTTTTGGTTTTGTTTTATTTTGTATTAATCTTCTGAGTAAACAAAAATTTATTCTCAGGGTCAGCCATACACTTTATTGACCAGTACTTGATCATCTTTTCTGTATATAATGAATACATTTTTACACTAACATGAGCATTAACAAATGCGAGTTGCCACGGATATAGTGGAATTATGGCTGGACTCCCTTTTGAAAGAAAACTTGATACATTTCTGTGTGTGTGGTTTTGTGGGGTTTTCTTTTTTTTTTTTTTTTTTTTTTCCAGATTAGTAATGCAGTTCGTGTTGGAATTCAGGTACATTAAGCTTTAGTGAGCAGTACTTTAGTAATTGTTATCTGACCAGTGATGTGGTACAGACATTGGCAGATGTCGTGGGCAAAGGCACGGGTCTCCTGTGCAAAGGGATTATATTAGGTTTGCGAAATGACGTGGAAGACCCAAGTCCCAGCCTGACCCCTCTTCACCTCATATTTTAAGCTGTTTTTTAGTTCTTTCCTGCTAGCTCTATTGCCCACCTCGTGTGAGCAATGAACTTGGGTGTCATTTGGGCACTTGGCATGACTGCACATGATATATGTGTGTGTGCAGCTTTGTGCTTGTGCCTGAGAAAAGGAGTAGTCTTCTCATGTGCACTTGCGCAGACGAGGAGCAGCCCTCTGCCCTCAAGCCCTGCCTGCCCAACTCAGGCACGGGCCAGGGTGGCTTTCTGGCGATGGCTCTCCCAGCACCTGAAGCGGGGTAACGGGGTAACTTTAAGAATTCATTTTGCGTTTTTACTTCAGACACTCTGAAACCACTCTGGCCTCGGGTGGGGGGCCTCCACCACCGAGAGGGGAGAAGTATCACTCTGGGCCCTCTCAAACTGAACCTGTGCGAACTTCCGAGGCCTTCCTACTGACTCTAGTGATGGCGGACTGGGGCACCGCTGTCACTGCTGTTGCCCACGGCATTGGTGCTACTGTGGCCAGGGCAGAAAGTTCCACTCACATGTAGGCCAGTTGCCTTGACTCGAAGCAAAATGGACTTCCTTACCTCCAGTCTCTTCCCACTGCCGCGGGGGTCTGGCTGAACCACAGACCCTCACTGGTGTCCTCTGCCAGGAGCATCTCCTGCCCAGTGGCATGGCATGGCTCACCTGTCCATCTTCTCTGAGCCCTTGCTACCTGAGTTAGGCCAGGGAGCCTAGGCAGAGTGTCGTGTACTTCAGGGCAGGGAGGGCTGCTTCTGTGCTGGTGTCAGATTCGTCCACTGGCTGCGCCCAAGTGCCAGGATGTCTCTTTAACACAAGAGGCAGGACCCCCTTCGCCCTTCCCCCATGTGGGCTTCCCCTTTATTTATTTGTTTTCTATGGGCCAAGATTGTCAAGATTTTGTAGTTTGTTACTTATTTGCAGTTGTTTACCAGATTTGGGAGACAAGGTGAAGTTTTCCCGAAGGCCTGTGTGTGTGCTTGTGTGTGTGTTTTAAATCGACTGTTCGAGGGCCATTCTTTGACTTGAAAACTGACCAGTTCACTGTCTTCTGCTGGGGAGCCCAAGTGTGTGGGGGTCTCTGTGTGTGTATGCGTGGTTAGTGCCACACCAGCTACAAAAGTTTAGCCATGAGAGTTTGTTTGGCAGAGAGAACAGATCTGTATATAAAATGCATTGGTCTTAGCTATGATTTTAAGATTTCCTGATAACTAAACAATTTACATCTGTTAGTTACTGCCTCTTCGTTGGTCCCAGGGCCCAACTTTTCTGTGTCCTTTACCCAGAAGACAAGTGTTTGATTGTTGGGACTTCTCAACAGGATTAGGGTTACCAGACCACTTATGATGCCCTGCTATGGTGTCTGTGAAGTGAGTTTCTAAGGTTTCGTCTAAACTTGGCACATATTGAAGAAAATGGTTAACAGTTCAGTTGGAAGTTCTCAGTCTAGAAAAGTTTCTTTGGCATCTAAAGACATAAGACCAATAATAATACAGAATGATGCTGACTTGTTAAGTATTCTCTGAAATATGGCCAAAGTACACTGAGTTTACTCATTTTGCTGTTGTAAACATCAGTGGTTTACAGTGTGCTTTAGGGCATATTCCTTGAAAATGGGATCAGAGAACAAGGAGGACCCTCTGAATTTAGTAGCTCTTGTTTCTAGACTAGTGGCATAGAATGTTATTTGGAAAAAATCTGGAATATTTGGCACACAAGCAGTGCCTCGTGGATGAGTTTCTTAGCTTTTACAATGCACTGTTTCTGAAAGTTTGTGGTTTTGTTAATAAAACATTGTCTGCCAAAGCTATGTTTAGTTTTCTTTCTCTGCTGACTGAATTATATCCTGCATATGTACTATGAAGCTAGCCACCCATTAGTTGTTGTGGCAATGCATTTCATGCTTGGCTGGCTAGAGACTTTTTTTTTGCAGAAGATGAAAAGTGATGGGATGTTTTTACTCCTATTGCAGGGTGCTTTTGTCCTCCTCAGTTTCCTGTACTTTTTTTTTTAATTCTCAAGCAGTCTGCTGCATTTACACTCTTCCCCAGCTGTATCAGTGCTGGGAACAGTTTACTAAAGTTCAGCATCACTTGTTTTGGCTTCTTGCGTCTGTGGCATACACTGGTTGGTCATCTGTGTCTGCACGAAAGCCAAGTTTCTTTGCTCTTTCTCGTCCGTCTCTAGGAAATGTATTGTCTTTATATCGTCTCAAGAATAAAACAAGGAAAAGGTACATTTTTATTCTTATTTTCCTTGAGCTGGAGGAAAAGAAAAAGAAAGGACTGTAACTAGAAGGTTGACATTGAAGTTGGTTGGTGAAAAAAGCTAAAGTGTTTCTAAGATTATTTTTTGTTTGCTTTTAGAGTCAGTTAAGAGACTGCTCCTAGTACTGGGAGATACTAGTATATGTTTCTAGTGTTACCTTACAATTACCTTTTTATTTCACAAGGCCCACCAATACTGGGTCAACAGTTTATAGAGATGGGCTTCTATCATGATGGCTTTGTGACCATCAGCCTTGCTGACAAATTGCAAATGGCCATCTCTACTTACTTTATTGCTTACAATGTTATATTAAATGCTTTACTTAAACGTCCTACACATTACTCATACAGTGGGGTTAGCCCAACCACACACGGGTATCACTTGAAAATCTGACACCAGTGGACATGGTGAGAAGGGCCAAGAAAGAGGAGCTGGAGAGCAGACAGGCTGGGGCATCCACCCCCTGAGGCAGCACCCTGCATGCAGGAGGAGGTACTGGTGACAGGAGGGTCACTCCCATGGACGAGGTTCCATACATCATAGAGAATTTTCCTTAGGACATTCTTTTTAAAAACTGTAAGTGTTCAGTGCTTGGTTTTTCGTTGTATCAGCCTGAAGTATTAGTATTTGTTGTCTAGGTGGACGTGTGAAAACCAAACCAGTACTTGGGGAGGTTATGTTTGTGTGCATTCAGGCTGGGAGGACGGGTGGTTTTGTTTGTTTTTCCTCCAGAGGTTTGTTCTTTAAACAATCATTGTGGAGGGTTTTTTTTTTTAAAAAAAAAAGTTTTTATTGTTATTGTTATATAATATATATATATATTTTTTGGTCAAGCAAAATTGTGAACACATTTGCTTTTCAGAGTTTCCAAGATGGGAAGAGTAGTGGGGATGTACTATGTGCCTTCTCAATGTGTTATTTTCATCAACTTGAAAACTCAAAAGGGACGTTTGGTTACATCATATACTGTACATCAATCTATGCATAAATGGCAGCTTGTTTTCTTGAGCCACTGTCTAAACTTTTTCCTGTTTTTATAGAAATTTCAATACTGATTTATAGATGGTTGGTTTTATACAGACTGAACAATACAGCACTTTGCCAAAAAAAAAAAAAAATGTAGCATTGCTTCATTGTTGTGTGTTAATGCCAGTTCTCTGTATTGGGTTCAGCAGTGCTCTGCACTGCCTGGAGTTACAGTTTTTAACCTGTCAGTAAATAAAATTTCCTTCAGCTTTACGGTTGCCAGATTCTTTTTATTATTTTCAAAGGTAGGCACTATTTACTTCAGATACCTGCTGCTTAGTTTTGCTTACCTAAAAATGTTTACTATGCACTCTTAATTTGAAAACAAGATTTTTAAATTTTTATTTAAAAGGTAGGTTTACAGAGAGAGGAGAGACGGAGAGAGATCTTCCATCTATCTACTGGTTCACTGCTCAGATGGTTGCAACAGCCAGAGCTGGGCTTGGAGCCTCTTCTATTTTTCCCATGTGGGTGCAGGGGCTCAAGGACTTGAGCCATCCTCTGCTGCTTTCCCTGGCCATAGCATAGAGTTGCATCAGAAGTGGAACAGCTGGGACATGAACCAGAACCTGCTGGCATCACAGGCAAAGGTTTAACCTACTATGCCCCAGTGCCAACCCCTAATGTGGGCTTTAAATTTTTTTAAAAGGTTTATTTTTACTGCAAAGTCGAATATACAGAGAGGAGGAGAGATAGGAAGATCTAACATTCAATGATTTACTCTCCAAGTGGCCATAACGGCTGAGCTGTGCTGATCCAAAGCCAGGAGCCTGGGGCTTCATCCGGGTCTCCCACATGGGTGCAGGAACCCAAGACTTTAGAACATTCTCGACTGCCTTCCCAGGCCACAATCGGGGAACTGGATGGGAAGTGGGGCTGCCAGGATTTAGAACCAGTGTCCATATGGGAAAACGGTGCATGCAAGGCAAGGACTCTAGCTGCTAGGCCACCATGCTGGGCCCTAAATAATTTTTCAGTATGTTTATTTTGAAATGCAGAGTAACAGAAAAATAGAAATCTTCCATCCTATTGTTTACTTTCCCAAATTGCTACAATGGCTAGGACTCGGCTAGGTCAAAGCTAGAAGCAGGAACTCCATCCAGGTCCCGCCTGTGCGCAGCAGGGATCCCAGCATTTGGGTCATCTGCTCCTAGTTATGCCGCTAGTTAACTTACCTCTTGCACTGCTGGCATCCTTGTAGGCATCAGTCCATGTCCTCCTGACTGCTCCACTTCTGATCAGCTCCCTGCTAATGGCCTAGGAAAAGCAGCAGAGGAAGGCCCTACCGTGCCACCCATGAGAGACTAGGAAGAAGCTACTGGCTCCTGCCTTTGGCCTGGCCCAACGCAAGAAATCACAGCCATCTGAGGAGTGAGTCAGTAGGTGGAAAACATCTCTCCCTCTGTAACTCTTTCAAATAGATTAATCTTTAAACAACAAAAGGGTGTAGCAGTGGGGCTAAGGAATGACTGTCCTTGGGGAAAATCAGCATTCTAGAACTATGGCTTGTTGCAAGACAGACTTTCTTAGCTTCGAATCTCTGCTGAGATGAAAAGATTGGGGTCAAGGATAAGGAGTCACCCAGATAAGGAAAGCTCAGGAAAGTTGATTTGGGGAAGAGCCAGTGAAATGGAAATTGCTACCCTGGTATGAATGGCAGGTGGGTGGCTGCTGCTGAAGAAGTTTACATACCCACTTGGAGATCAACCAAACTGTCCAAGTAATTATGCAACATGGTCAACATCAGTGACTGAATCCAGTCAAAAGTGAAGGTGAGGGCAGGCACTGGGCCTTGTAGTTAAGAAGTGCATGTCTCACACCCACGTACCTAAATGTGGTTTTCGGCATCAACATCTGGCTCAGGGTTCTGATTACTGCACACCCTCAGGGAGAGCAAGTGATGGCTCAAGTTGTTGGGTCTCTGCAATCCATATAGGAGAGCTGGGTTGAGTTCCCCTGCATACCAGGGAGATCTGTGCAGGCAAGGGAAGGCAGGATCTCTGAATCAAGGCATGTCAACACAGTCTTCAAAATGCAAACTGTTACCATAATGAGCCACGGTTCCTGTTGTAAAGAAGGAATATAGGCAAACATATGTATCTAACCACCTATCCCAAAGAAACACAGGAAAAATCAACCAGAACTGAAAGGGACTGGTTATCTGCAGAGGGGGAGTGAGAGTTGGAGAGATGAGAGCTGACACTGGTTTGTGGGAGGATGCCACATTTCCCTGAGTGCTGGTGAAGGCTTTGCCCGT